CGGGGCCGCGGCGGAGGCACGGCCGCCCCCGGTGTGGGCGTGAGAGGGGCCCGGGGGATGGCGGCCCTCGCCGGGCTGCCGGAGCCGCTGCCGGGCCGCCCTCGGGGCTCTGCTCGCTGGGCGAGAGGGCGGTGAGGTGGCTCCCTCCCGGGTGGAGGCGAGCGGGGGTCGGGAGAGGGCCGGAGTGGGCACCCGTCTTCCGTTTGCGGCGGTAATTGCCGCCGGCCTGTGTCAGCAGTCGGTAACCAAAGCCGTCCTCCCTGGGGACGGGTCTGTGGGGCTTGGTGCTGGCGGGTGGCTGCGGCCCCTGAGGTGGAGGTCGGGCCGTACTGTGGCAGGGAGCCTCAGCGGGAGACAACTTTGACCGGCGCTAGGAAAGCTGAAATACTAAACGAGAGTAAACTTAACTACTGAAGCGTACCGCTCGCTCGAGAGGAACAAGCACGGTTCCAGCAGCGAGAAAGTGCCCGCAGCCCCAGCGCGGCTCCGGGGGTCCGGCGCTGTCCGCGGGCGGTGGGACCCTCGCCTGGCTGCCCAGGGCTTGGCGTGCTCCTGGGGCAGCGCGCCCGCAGGGGTCTTCAGCCGCTCTTCCAGCTTCCTCCTGTTTTGTCCTTCTTTTTTTTTTCCTCCCCCCCCGGGTGCTTATTGTTTGATTCTTCGTCTTTGGTTTTCTGAGGTGCTGCCTCTTTGAGCTTCCAGCTTCGTGTGCATTGAAAGGTTTGCACAGCTCTGTTTGAACTGGCAGCTAGCTCAACAGCCAGCTCGCAACCAGCTTTACCATTAAAAATTCGGTCTCTGAAATAACTGCTGTTTAAAGAAGGCCTGAACAGGAAAACTGTGGTATGCGCTGCTCTTACGAAAAGCATGATAAGTGCTGAGACTTTAATTGTGGCATACGACGTATCCTTAGGGCCGGGCACATGCCTCTGAATAAATGTGTTGTGTACGGGAAGGAAGGAGCTCCAGAACATTGCGCTGGAGAGGGAATGCTGCTCTTACGAATTGCTGCCTACTGAGGGAATTCAGTGTGGCCTTCTGCCTCCAGCACCCACATTGGGTCTGTATCGATGGTTTGTTTTTTTTTTAAATGTAGTTCGTAAGGATTCTCTCTAAAAGGGTTTCCCTGGAGGCTAGAGCCCAATTCATTCAAAGTGTCAGCATCTAAATTAATTGGACACTACCAGCTCTCATGTTCTCAGGAGGTAGTAGCATCTCGAAGGAGTTGTTGTAAAAATAGTGCTGTGCAAATTCCTTATTCCGTCGGTGAGATTTAGTGAATAGTTGGATGGTATTATAAAAATAGCATTAATGTTACTATATTTCTTTTGGCAGCATTTAATTTCCACATTAAAGATTTTTATTGTGCCCAGTTTACAAAATAGCTGAATGTGTTGCAGCATCGCCTTGAATCTTTGGCTAAGTTGTGGTTAGATTCAGCTGCAAGTTATAGGCATCTGAGGAGAGCATCCTAGGGAAGGAGCGTTAACTTCTTGCCACAGCCATGCTGTTTCTAGGTGTCTGCTGCTGGCCACTGTTGGGATGAGTGACTAGATAAAACTTGGGTTTGGCTGGGTTTATGTCACTTTTTCTAGGCAATTATAATACCATACATTTTTAAGATTAGTAAAAAGATGCATACCAATCAAAATCAGAAATTTTTGTTGGTAAAAAATGTGTATGTAACATCATGAGTCAATTCTGATGTACAGTTTCTGCTCTTCTTTTTCTTTTGCCTTTTCTGCAGATTTCAGCGGATGGCTCTGTGCTAGGGAGACTTTGATCTCTCCAGTTATATCCAAACTGGATTTGATCCTTGAGGTCCATCATAAAGATTCTTCTCTGTTACTGCTAAATTATTGTGTTGATCAATGAAATCATTAGGCACTGGTCAAGTTGCTCTTTATTAATTTGCCAAAAGTTGCATTGAGGGGATATTTTTAATTACTAGCCAAATGCTTGGAAAGTCTTAAGGTGTTCTTGGAATTTTGGGTGGCTCGTGATTTCAGATAGCTCATCGTCTTGGGAAGAGCATTCAGTTGTACCAGCCTCCCATGTAGAAGTTTTTCTTGTGTATGGAAAAAGCTGACTTCCTAATTTGTTTATTTTTCTTTCACAGCTGAAAGCTGACGTGGTTCCAAAGACGGCAGGTAAGGCAGCATCTCCAGAATTTCTTACTTAAATATTTAAGGCTTAGATTGTGATTTTCAGGAACAAGAACACTTTGTTACCTTTTGGAAACTATTTCCGTGTTCCATCCCCATTTGTTAAATAGAGAAAAACGGTAAGAACTTTGTCAGAACAGTGCTAGCAAGGAGTTATAATTTGTTGTCATTCCAAATAGTTTCATTTTGTAATTTGTGCCAAGACAGTACAGTCCATATGTTTGGTTATCAGTGGTGAATAAATATGTTTAAAAAACATATTCGTTTGCATTAAAATCAAATCCCAAAGCAAATGGGAAAGGATAAACCGAAGGGATGGTGTCTCTTAAGAGTTTCCAAAGAGCATATAGGGTTTTGTTTTCCTTGTCACTAGCTGATCAGTGGATTCATGTTACAAGGTTTTTGTGTTTTATCATGTGCTTCCTTCCTCATCTGTTTATGTAGTGGTTCTGAAAAACTTGTACTTGTCTTTTGGTTTCCACTAGATGAATATCTTTTCTTTTTTTTAAAAGCATCATGTTCCCAATTACTATAGAGAACAAAAGGCGTAAAAGTCAGAAAATGAAATCTTTGACTCCAGAGTGGTGGGTTTGGGGAGGCTGGGGGGTTGGACTTAAGGTATAACAGCAAAATAAAAGGGAGATGAGATTGAAAAGGGTTGTGTTTGTACCCTGTTCTGAGGCTAAACAAGCTTTGTTTCCTTAGCTTTATAACAGAGGTTTTTTAAAGCATGGAAACAGCTAATAAGTTGATAATACCTTAAAGATACTATAAAATTTTTGAAGTGTATAAACTTAAGACAGAGTTAATCTAGTCGTGTTTATATTATGTATCACGTATGGCAACATAATACTTTATGCTTTCTTTTCACAGAAAACTTTAGAGCTCTTTGTACTGGTGAAAAAGGATTTGGGTATAAAGGATCCACTTTTCACAGAGTGATTCCTTCATTTATGTGCCAGGTAATGTTTCTTTTTTTACTTTTGCTATTAAATTTATCTGTATGTTAGTAATATATTTTTAGAACCAGTTAGACTAGTAGTAACATTTTAAGTGGCTCTGCTCTAACCTTTGCTAACTACAGAATAAAGAAGTGACAGTGTGACTTGCATTGCTGGTGTTTGTGCTATGGCTATTGCTTAGCACATCTTTTGTACAAATAAATGTAAATTATGTGTAGACTGTCTTAAACTGGTTTAAGGCTTTCTGCTTTTGTGTAGCAGTGTACTTTAGTGTGGGGCGTATTTGGTAAAATTGCTTGGGAGAAGCATTTGTGAGTAGAATGACAATCAACCTTGTGTTCCAAGTGAGCCAAGAAAACAATGTGTCCTTCTTTATTCCTAGTAGAATAATCTGTTCATAATGTGGTTTTTACAAAAAAAAATTTTCTTTTTTTTCTGAACATCTCCCTAATAGGGAGGGGAGGAGGGAACCAAAAGGGTACATTGGGGTAGATTTTGGGATGATGCACCTGAAATGGATGTTGTTTTGATTTAAAGGATGAATCTTTCAAAATTCTGAATTAAAGTCCATGCATGTTAGTAATGTTTACTTAAACAGCAGCAGCAAGAACGACAACAAACAAAAACAAACGGAAAAAGCCTTTTTGAGAGCCTTTTTTTCTACTCTGCTTGGCAGATGAGCAGGATTTCAGCTGTTGTAGTGCACTGGATTGTATGATTCCTGGTGGTCCTCTCTTCCCTTAAAAGAAGCTACGTTTCAACAAGATTGCATCGTAGAATGGCTCTGTAAAAAATTGGATATTAAGGTTATAATAACTGTGCTTTATTTATTAACTGATGACTGTAATGGTTCCCTCTTCTTGCGGGACAAGTGTGCTGTAAAGGACCTATTTTCTTGCCTTTGAAATGCAAACTAAGGTTTTTTGTGATACTGACAAAGGGATAAAGTTTTGAAGTCTTGGTCGGATCAGAAGTACATAAATATAAGAAAAATAGAAATCCTACACTCAGTTCTACCACTAATTTGTGAAGTTCTGTGTAAGTCTTCTCCTTGCCTCCCCGTTTTGTCCAAAAAAAATCCCCAAAATGAGGATACTAGGTGGTTGACGCCATGGTATGGTGAGATGATGAATTAATGTTTAGGAATTACTTGTTAGTCGTTACCAAAGTGGAAATACTGTCATAGGTTTCAAATATTTAAGGAGAGAGAGGAAACAGTAGAGGCCTTTCCACTTGTTGAGATGCAGTGTTACGATGATTCAGGCAATTGGTATAGCCTAATTGGAGGTCATTATACCCAGGACTTGGCAATTCAGATGCCTCTGCATGGCATGCAGCATGGAGAACATACTTCTGGGAGTGCGTAGGAGTAGCTGTAACACCACCTGTAATAGATTGCTCAAGGTGAAAATGGAAAGATGAACATCACATGAAATACTTGTTAGGTACGAGTTCTTTGTTGGTGTGGGTGGTGTTGCTTCCAGGAGAGGAGATGGCAGATTGCTGGAAGCAGTGTGTAGTAGCCAACTCTGGGAGTTGCTGCGGCTGGTTTTTTTGTTTGTTGGGTTTTGTGTGTCTAACGTAAGACAGGTGGTCACATCTGTCCCAGCAAACAGCATGTAGCTGAGGAAAGTTTAAAATAGCTCAGGTGTAACACTTAAACAGCAAAACCTAGAAACAGCAAATAGTAATAATGGAGATCCTGACCAGTATTTATACCTGTTGGAAGAAAGAGAGGGAGAAAAGAAGAGTTCTCAGATCTTGCCTGTGGTAATGAATTTGGGTGATTTTGTTTTGAGGTCTTTGAGGTGTTTCTTAAAACTACTGCTATTTGTTGCATCACGTTTGGGAGCAGGGCTGGTAACTTAGGAAGGGCATTGTTGGAGTTACGGATGTCAGTTGGAGAATATCAGCAATATCTGGAGCAGAAATTTACTTTTAGCTTTATTGTGTCTTCATCTAGTTGCATGGTTTTAAATCCTCATGTGACCATACTCATTCTTAACTTGAAGAAAATTTGCTGATTTTATTACTTTTAAGTTAGAGTGAGTATATTTTCAATAGCATCACTTCTGATGTAAAATAATGCCTGTGTGCTAGTGAAGTTAACAGCCATTTCTGTTTTAGGGTGGTGACTTTACAAATCATAATGGAACTGGTGGAAAATCCATCTATGGCAGTAGATTTCCAGATGAAAATTTCACACTTAAGCATGTAGGACCTGGTAAATAAACATATTCTTTCTACCTTCTGATGACTGTAATGAAGCATTGTTTATGAACATGTATTTTTAAAAAGTAAGGTTTTTTAGATGTGTGGGGCACTTGGTAGTTACAGAAATATCAAGGAAGTTTAACGATGTATTGTCCCTGGCATGTGCTTATTTGTGTAGACTGCTGTACAAATATAAGTCAGCCTGTAACGGGTGACATTGCCACTCTTGCCCTTCCTATAAAAGGGACTGTGCAAAATAAAGTGTTGGGCTTTTTTGTATTTTACTTAGAATTCTACAAAGGTGAAATTACTGCTTTTATTTTTCTCTTTTGTAAGTCATAGACTTGAATTTTCACTTAGATGATTACTACAGAAGTGAAACAAAGCAATCTGGGATTTCTTATTTACTTACACAGGCACGTCCTTTTAAGCTCAAATTAAATCAAGAAAAAATAAAGGAAAAGCCATACATAAGAAAATCTAATTGAATTCTGTAGTCTCTTTCTTGGGTTGTTACTTCCTCATCACAGGAGACTCCTGCTGCTGTTGAACCGCAGTAGAGGTTACCTGATGTTAATCACATTCAGGACGTGTACAACTAATTACATTACTAACATTCTTGCTGTGGAAAGAAGGGAGGCTGGGCCTGAGGGAATAGTCAAAAGACAAGAAGTTGGCATTAGAAATCATTTGGAGACAAAGTGAGACCATCACATCTTCTGTCTGTCCATCTTTAGTCTAAATGTGCGGAGGAAAATTGTCTTCTCCGCTGCATGCTTGTTAAACCAATCTAATAAGCTGCTGCTGGTGTTGTTGTTCTAGGTGTTCTTTCAATGGCCAATGCAGGACCCAATACAAATGGATCTCAGTTCTTCATTTGCACTGCAAAAACCGAGTGGTAGGTTCTCAGCCCTGCATATTAACCTGATGAATAGATGCCTGGATTCAGAGGGTTTGAGATTTTCTTAGGGGGTTTTTTGTTGTTGTTTGTGGGTTGATGGGGGTTTGTTTGTTTGTTTTGGTTTAGGGGTTTTGTTTTTCTTTCTAATTTCCAAATTACTTGACTCACAGTGGAAAATAAATTGTTTTGTGCTACCTGGGGGAAGAAGGGCTGTGAGGGTAACAAAGCTGCTATCCCTCATAATGCTTCTAAGGTCCAGAGCTAAAAGTATTTCATGTCACTTGTAGAGGAGTTGTGCGTTTGCCATAGAGTTGATCAGCAGGTGAGAGCTATGAAGATCTGCTAGACATCCTTTCACTGAGCTTAGTTTGGTTCAGTCTTTATGTTGTTTTAAGTAAAACTGCCCTTGTTTATTTGTTTTACAGGCTAGATGGAAAACATGTTGTTTTTGGGCATGTAAAGGAAGGAATGGATGTCGTGAAAAAAATTGAGAGCTTTGGTTCCAAGAGTGGAAAGACCTCCAAAAAGATTGTCATTACTGACTGTGGTCAGCTGTCCTAGCCTTTTGCCCTACCATTCAGGACAACTTCGATGCTGTGAAAAGTGAATCATAAAAAACCCCAAACGTTTCTGATCCCATGAATAGCACCTATGGAACCATAGTTTCTATTTAACTTGGTCCAACTTTTATTCTTACATTGAATAATATTGATTAAAAGCACAAAACAATAATTGAAACATGTTTTAACTGAGCTACCGTGGTAGTCACACTGATTTGCTGGAGTCCCATTGCGTTTTGAAAGAAGTAGTGCAGTCACTCAGCATATCCGACTGCAGTGTTGATACTGTTCTTAGTATTTGGGTGTTCCAGGTGTTAGAATCGGTGGTGGAGTTGACAACTAAGTGTTCTGTACCTGGGGGGTTACATACAAATTGAGAAATACCTTGTTTCCTTTGGTGCTAATGAACGCCTGTTCTGTTGTTCATCTCATCATTTTGAAAAAATAATGCTAACTAGTGCTCTCAAGGCTGTCTGCAACATGACTGTCAGACATCTTCTTTCTGTGTCTCAATTTAAGTCTATCCAGTAAAATTAATGTGTGGTTGTAGGGTTTTTTTAAATTAATTCTGTTTTAATCTTTTCTTTTTTTGTAGTCTCAGACCACTGTTTTAAACTGAACTCTACCTTACCTTGCTTCAATGGAGCAATTTGACTTTTGGGTTAAGTAAATTGCTTTAGGTTGAATTAGCCTACTACTAGAGCTCTACCTGGGCAATAAGACCACAAATTAGCCAGAAGATCATGGGACTTTTTTTATTACGCAACTGTGAACTTACTCGAAGTGCAGTTCTGCTCTGAGACCTGGTTCTGTGAGGAATACAGCACAGTTCTCAAAAGATAGCCTATTTTTGCACTTTGAGAATATAATCAGAGTATAGTAAGCTTTCTTGAGTGAGAAACAGGTTTCATTGCTTTTTTGTCCTGTTGGTCCTGCGAAGTCAGCCCACCTTGGGTATTACTTGGATTATGATTTCTTCTCGTACATCATCAGCAGAAGTCAAAATCGGTCACCACGAAATCGCAAGGCCTAATTGGTGCAGCAGAATCGTTATTGTTGGGGTTGATGTACGAGAAGGAAAGAATTCAGCTGATCAGATAAACACATTTCGTTTGTATAAACTAGTATGTTTTATGTGGAGTGCTTGAGCAGTAACAAATGTTGGAACCTCACAACATCACTTTCAGAATCACTAAAGCTGTAAAGTAGTAATGCATGGGGAAAAAAGCACTTGACTGGTTTTGTGCAATAATCTTGTTACTGAAGAGAAAAATAAAATGTGATGGCTGTCTTCAAATGTGAATTTACTTCCATTGCATTCTGATAATATGTGGGTTTAAAACTATTTTGCACTGGATTTTTTTTTCCACTGAGGGCTGCATTCTTGTGTGTATGAGGTAGTATTCAGAGTGTAATTTTGCAGAAAATGGAATTGAAAAGCTTTTTATTCTTTCCACTCTAGCTGTTTCATGTTTCTTTGTAGGATTTTTTTAAATACTAATTTGTGCTTGTTTGGCTTATTTCAGTTTGATAGAATAATGATTTTTTTGTTGTTGTTATCTTAATTTCTATACGAAAATAATTAAAAACAGTTTGGCCACAAAAAAAGTCTGTTCCTTTCTTAAATATGACTTTGCACACTTACTTGAAAGCAGGAGTGTGAGGAGCTGAAACCTGTTGTGTTTACTCGGGCTATTCTATTCTGTCCACTTTGCGATGTGTCTGATCTAGTGGTATTCAGAAGCCATGCTGTTGTTCAGAGGTACAGCCAGCGAGAGATGGGGTAATGGTGCCATGCTTTGCCTCTCGCTCGTGAATCTAAAATATCTGGTGTATGGATAATGGTTCAGGTTTTGAGACTCTTGTCTGATTTATTCTATTAATTTTCAGAGATAATGGGGAAAGTGTAAATTTACTGGGTGTTTATTTTTTAAATATCTGATTTCCTTTCCGAAAAGTTGGTAGTTCCAGCTTTTTGCTGGACAATTGAGGAAAAGCTCCTTCCTTGCTGTGTTATCAGAGATGACCTTAAGAATTTAGCATCTGCCTGTAGTGTCAGCGGTATTTGTAGACTGGAAAGCCCAATGGAAGGTGCTTTGCCACAAAGCAGTCCATTTTCTCAGAACTGTGTTAAGCCTTAAATAAGTAATAGTATTATGCATGTTATTATGATGTATTACGTATGGCTGTGGCTTTTACAGGCACAGTTTTGCCCTAACTTTGGAAATGTAAAAGGCAATATTTTCCATCAAGGCTCACAGTTTTGACTAGAAGATACATATGTAAGACCTGCAGAATCCCTTTGATTAGTAGCACGGGTTGCAGTGTCTCCATGGGGCTGGCTTTGGTTTCCAGATACCAGTCCTCTGCATACTTTTGTCTGCCAGAAGAAAGTCTTTGCTGCTTGGGTGCTTACAGCAGTGGAATGTGAGTCTTATTAAAGTTTTGACAAACTAAACTGGTCAATCTCTTAAAGTTTTCTTCTATAAAGTATCTTCCTCAAAGCGAATTTTTCTGGGGTGCTGTTCTTCCTGTTTTTACTTTCTTTTTTCTCCCCGCCCCGCTTCCCGTTATTTAAAAAGAAAAGGCACAGAGCTCTATTCCAGTATACATCTTGCACCCTGCAGCACTGCAGCAGTGTTCCTATCCTGACAATACACAGCTACAGCTTGTACTAAGTATCCCCGAGCTAATGTTAGGAGGCAGTTGTGGCACCCAGTATGCCACAGCAAGGGTTGCGGGACCTCGGCACGCTGGATGGCTGGCCCTAGCCCTCTGTGGTCCTGTGGCTGTCAGTCTTGGGTAGCTTGTCCGCTTCTGTATGCAACCCGAAGTCAGGATTGCAGTTCATGGGTAAGTACACGGAAATTGGCCTTTGCTAGTAATTCTCTGCCAGGATCTAATTTTTTGCAGGATCCTAAGTGCCCATCTCTTTCCTGTTAGCCCTCGTGTATCGCAAACAGTGACTAGAAGAGGGTTCTCCTTTTGCAGCCTTGCTTGATGGTTTTGTCAGCTTCAAAATCATGGGCTAGAATAGGAAGAGTTAGGCAGTGCCAGGAATTGTTTGTGACCCCCTTCCTCCAGGATTTTGTACCCTTTTATAGCAAAATGATAGATGTTATGACAACGATAAACTCGGCTTCACAGCCCTGTCACGTACAGAAAAGGACTTTGACTTCTAAAGTTAATCCACTTCAACTGTGAGGTAGGAAACTGCCCAAAATTATTTTTGAATACATTTAGATGTTAAATGGATATGCTTTCCTTGTCTTCTGCTGGTAAAAAGCATTGATCTTAAAGCAATTCAGAGCATGGTTTATTTCAAAGCAGGTGAGCGATCCCAGAGTAACTGATGTTACTCATGTGTATATTAAAATGTGAGAAATTGCTGCCATACCCGTTGAAGAACGGTGTGGTTTTTCCACGCCCTGCCCGGCGGTCTGTTACTTCAGTGCTGCTTCTGGCACAGCAGCTCTGGGGCAGAGCGGTGCCCTCCAGCGCGGCGGAGGGTTGGATCCAACCTCTGCTCTTCTGTGGTAAGAAATGCATCTCCCCGCCGAACGATCGGTGCGGAAGCTGAAGCTGCTTCTCCCCCGGCGTGTCTGCCCGCAGCTGCCCAGTTCGGTCCGACCCTCGGCCGCCGGTCAGGGGCCGGGCGGCGGGTCGGGTGGCTCCGCGGCAGCTGGAGCAGTTGGCGAGTCGCCGCTGGCGGACGAGGGGTGCCGGCGGC